ACACACCTAATAATATTGTAGTATCATCGTAGAAACAGCCGGAATTCAAAAAGATAAAAAAGATATGAGGTGACTTCAACGGCATATCTTAAGAATACTATATGATTANAACTTGTGAGTGACATGAAGCCATAAAATTGAAGTACAAAATACTCGCTCGCCATGTCATAATTTTCCTTAGGGTTTCCAAGCACTATACATGACACATGACTGGCAAGCGCTGACGTAACGTGCTGACTGCTCGTTCTGATAAAGCCAACCACATAAGTACGGCTAGGGTGAATCACGGCACTCAAGGACAAACATAGATAAGGCCTCTCAGCTGACAGGTACAGTGCGTGGACCCGCTAGAAGACCGCACTTTTCTTGGGCCATTATCTCCGTAACCGTTCAACTTTGGACAGAGGTGTTTTGGGTTATATCGGCATACTTTAACATAAGGAACACCCTCCCGAAGTTTGGTCCATTCCTCTTGGGACATTCTGTATATATATTGATAATTTTAATAACATTTTATAATTTAACGATAATTGTGTGAATTAATGTTATTAATTTGTTGCATTATAGAGGGAAAAAGGAAAGGACTATAGAAGATAATCCCGAATTACCACATGCTTGCAGCTAGTAGGATCCCTAAATGGTGTACATATATTGTCTGAAGATAAGCGTAGTCCTCTTCTTGTCCAACGGACTGCGAGCAAAATGGCATTACTGCCTCACCCTGCCGTAGTTTCAGAATCCACCATAATCACGCAGTTTAGATGATACGCTAGTATTGAGGTAGACTTTGGGTGCGTGTCCTGATCCATTTTAGTGTTCGTGTCTTTTTTGCTTCCAGTCGCAAATGTGTCTCAGATGGTGGTTGTTTTTATAATTATTATTTCCGTTTTTACAAAACATACGCAAATTAGCTATAATAAAACCGTCAGGCGTCTCGTCTATTTTACATTTGTCGGATATAACCTCAATGTTTTGGACCGTCGCGATGTTTATATTGTGACGTATTTGCGCTATACGGGACATCCCCCCCCCTCCAGCGGTGACGTAACAGCACAGGGGACACCGCGGGTACTACGCAGCAATAAACAACTCTCGGCAGCGATCCCCAGCAATGCCTGTAAACATAACGTTACGCAACAGTGGTAGCTATCACGGAACTGTTTTCTGTGTTGTCAGTACGGAAGCTAAATAACAAGAGGATTACCGGAGTAACCAGTCAGTTTCAATCTAGCAGTCGCCGAGTTGGGTTGTATCGAGTGCATGGCAGTGACTACAACAGGAGAAGTAATAGTGATACTGCAGATGGCAGTACTTGTGAAATTGTAAGCGCGAGTGTTCATTGAATGCGCTACATCCAAGACGGCGTGAAGTTATTTGTCGCGTGAACTACCCAACACGTGACAATATCTTTTGATTTCACGAATAATACAAACGTATATATAGTACTGCCAATTTTAACCAGGAACAGATACGGCGTAAACGCCTATTGAGAAGGAATACACAGGACACCGTAACGAAGGACACAAATCACGGCGACATACCCAAGAAGACAAGTGAGAAGGAACTACACGTAAAAACCAATAGCATTACCGTGAATAGCTTCTGTAATATAGAGTACAACAGCGAACCCCGGGCGAACGGCAACCTTCAGTGCGGGACAAAATAACAAATCGACACTGAATTTTACGTTAAGCAACAAGAGATTTTAAATAATTTTAAATTTTAAAATTAGAAAACTTCTTGCAAATTCGTGACGGCTGCATGTGATTGTGATGAGTTGCACTGATATGGATCCTTGTTAGGACAGTTCAGTAACACGAGACGTATTTAACGAGACTACCTGAAGCTGGTCCCATACGCTGGTCCCCAAAGTGCACGATGCGTTTAAGGAACTGTGACGCACAATGCGGTGGTCTGTCATAGGAAGTAAGCAGTCAGCAGTAGTAGTATGAGCGCCATGGAGGTGTCATATAGGAAGAAATGAGGGGTGTTCTCATATTTAGTGTATAAGTATTTGCAGTCTGCAGACCGAAGGTTCTGGGTGCACCCATTGCTGAGCTCCCGACTGCTAAAAGGAGCATTTTCATCGCTCTACGTAGATCTTAGTAATGATGAAACAAAATTTTTTAATTACTTTCGGATGAGCAAAAGATCTTTTGAGGAGCTAGCTGGAAGAACTGCAGACAGTATACGTTCCCAGGACACCAATATGAGACTCGCTATTGGCCCGCTTGAAATGTTAGCTGTAACACTGAGGTACGTACAGATTTATTTCGGTTATCTAAAAGAAGGAAACAATGTGGCAAAAGGATTATTATTTTGAACAACAGGTTCAGTTGAAGAAAGTCGTCTTCTTCATAGTCATCGCCGTGAAAACCTCAAAACTTACAACAGGTTCAGTTGTTTTGAAGAAGCTTAATAGTTTATTGAATTATCGTCTTTTCTTTTTTACAAAAAA